CCAACACTGTTCCATCCTCAATTTCTATATTTTTGGACAATATAATAGAAATTTTCTTTTTATAGAAATGCGGGTATATTTTATTGCATTGCAGTCATTAAATGACCACTCCCGCCGACTGCATTCACATATACAACCCTCCCGTTTTTTTGTTCTGGTTTTTTGTCCATTTTCTACGACATTATCAGTTTGTTTAACCTCTAATGAATGTGTGTTTTTACAAATGTCGTATAATCAGGCACAACGGCTCATCAAATATTCCGATAAGAATTTAACCCTACCATGACACTCACTGTTGCATTTAATCTGCTCTGCTCTGCTCTTTGTTTGTTCGTGTCAGTCAAACTGTTTATTATCAGAATGCAAGGTAGCTGTAAAATGTTCACAATTACTGAAATGAAAAAATAAATATATTTTGAGTTTATTTTACAATTTTTATTTCCCAGTACAATAAAAATTGTTTGTATTAAAGGAACACAATGCAACAACAAATTTACTTTTTGTTAAACTTATAAAAAAAGAAATCCGATAAATTATATAAATATCGTAAAAAATCGAGATAAATTGGTTCTAGTAAAATCGGTTTAGTTAGACCTGTGATTCTATAAACCATGAGGAAAGAAAACATTGGAAATATGTTCGAATGCACCCGTTCAAAATTGTATTACTGAAAATACATGAATCTGTACCGAACACTTTATGTTTTAACATTAAATATGCATTTAGATAGCGTGAAGAAAATCATTATAGTTACACCATTTGTAGCTCCAGAACCACTTTACCGATATGGCTGAGAATTGGTGAGGAGGTAGCTTAGTGTCAGGAGGTGGATATAGGATATTATTTATTCCGTAGGTGTACTAAAAGTATTAAAAAGGTACTAAAAAAATTGGTTTTTGGTGAATGGATAAAGTTGGAATGCTGAAATTTAGTTATAACTGTACTACAAGTACTAAGTGGTACTGGTACCAATGGCATTAGAATGAATCACTGTAAATGCGATCCCTTTAGATAATGTCTTAAATTTTGGTTATACCTACTACCAAAAGTGTACGAAAAGTACTAAATGTTACTAAATTTGATAATGAGTATGGAGCTAGAATTGTGAGTATTGGTATGGGAATGACTGTGACTATGTGGCGTTTACATATGAAGGTGAATTTGAAATTTTATACCCTCAGCCATACGGCTAGATATGGTATATGTATATATATTTGATTCGGCCAAAACGTACCTCAACGAAATACAGATTTTAGACCCCAGGTCTCTTTGGACAAAATCTGTTTCAGGACATGTGAAGAGGATCTAGGGGTATCCGTCCGTTCATCTGTCCAGCCAGCCAGTGCGCACGATAACTCTCGAAGGGAGTATCCGATGTGGTCCAAACTTGGTACATCGTATTATTATTATCAAATTTAGATCGAGTTCGGAGATGGAAAATATCTGTCCAATACTTCTTGTAACTCCACCACAAAAGGTCGAAATTTTCAAAAAAAAAAAAAAATAAATAAATAAATAAATAAATTAACTGCACAAAAAGTGAAATCCAATTTTTCCCCAACTTTGCAAAACCCTAGTATTTGCATCAGTGCTATGTCAGGTGCAAAATGAACTATATCTGTCTACACCACCATGTACCTTCCCCACAGAGGGTCAACATTTTGAATAATTATAACTCTTATAAAATGTGATGTAAAAGTCCAACTGTCTTCAAATTATACACATCACAATATTTTCATAAACCCATGGTCTGGTGTGAAGATGGAATATAACGGTCCACTCCTTCTGGTACGTCCCCACAAAAGGGTCAACAATTTCAATATCCATGAAGGTCGCGAAATTAAAATCCAATTTTATTTAGATTTGGCAAACCTCAATATTTCCACCAACACAAAATCTTTTATAAAGATAGTAGATGTTGGACCATTCCTTCTAGTACCTCCCCCACAAAGGGTCAAAGTTTTTTTTTATCTGTCATAACTTGCGAAACGAGTCAGCGATTCTTCACAACGACAACAACAGCAGCTATATGTACATATTTTTCTCAACCAGAAACCTGAGATGAATATGGAATTTATGTTTTCGCATAAAATTGGTTATAAATGTTCGATTTTCTTGTAATTTTGCCCGTACCAATATTTTTATCTGTATTAGATGAAGTACGAAAATAGAATATTTGGTTCGACTATAGAGGGTGAGATAAAAAAAACTGCAACCAAATTCAGACTGCTGTAATTTCTAAGCCACTTGTCCTACAGCTGTTAATATTATTCTAGTGACAGCTCATTATTGTTTACAAGCGTGCAAGAGCATTTTGGTGAGAATTTTCCAAAAAAAAGCTATACGTGATGGAATTTAAGCGTGATAGTATGATTTCTTGATATTTGGCTAGAAATCGACAAGTGGCTATCGTTAGAGCACATCAGCATTTAAATGTGAATAAATCTTTTGTGTCTCGTACCATCGCTCGTTACCGTGATCCTGGTAGCGTAGCCCGACGTCAAGGAAGTGGACGGAAGAAAACAGCAACATCAGCAGAAATTGTTTGAAAAGTAAAGAAGATCGAAACCCGTGTCGCAGTGGCCGAAAAATGGCCCGTGACGAATATTGAAAAATGAGCTCGGGGTAAAGCTATTGAAATTGCAAAAAGTGCAAGAAATTACACCGCAACAGAAAGAAAACAGTCTCAAAAAAGCTAAGGAGTTGCTTCGCTTGGCCGAAAGTGGTGAACTGCCAAATTTGGTTTTCTCCGATGGGAAAACATTCGTTGTCCAGCAGTTTGTAAACAAATTAAATTATCGTGTTTATTTGCCAAACAGGTCAGCTGAAAATGTGCACCTTCGGCTGGCCACCAGAACTCAGGCGCCGGCCATGGTGTGGGCCGCCATAAAAGCCGATGATCGGTCTCCTAAATAAATGCTAAATGCTGAATATTATAGCGAAAAAATTCTGGAGGGTGTATTAAAGCTTTGGGCACGCAAACATTTTGGCCGCAGACCATGGACATTCGAACAGGACTCAGCACCATCGCACTCAGCACGCGCCATCCAAGAATGGTTACAAAATGAGGTTCCTCGCTTCATTGCCATCGCACAATGGCCACCAAAATCTCCGGATACAAATCCGTTGTACTATTGTGTTTGGAGTATTTTGGAAAGCAAGGTTGGCACTACAAAATATCAAAGTATCGATCACCTCAAGCAAGCGCTTCGCCGGGAATTGGCCAAAATACCGCAGAGCAACATTCGGGCAGCGTGTGACGGTTTCATTGGCGGTTTGAAGACCATGATTCGTGTCAAAGTTGACCAATTCGAACAAATCAGAACTTATTTTGAAATTTGATGTTATGTCCGACATTTTTATACCCTCCATCATACTATAGAGGGTATATTAACTTTGTCATTCCATTTGTAACTCCTCGAAATACTCATGCAGACCCAACAAAGTATATATATTGTTGATCAGCGTAAAATTCTAAGTCGATTTAGCCATGTCCGTCTGTCTGTCTGTTGTAATCACGCTATCTTTCGAACGAACGATTTTAGCGACATTATTCACCGGAATTGTTTCAACTTTGGTATTTGAAGTTCGAAAAGGATATTACAGCCTATGACAGAAAATTATCTGGGCAGGTCCACGTCTTCGTATAGCCATCATATAACGGTACCTACCGATATTCGGTATTGTCATGATTTTAGCGACATTATTCACCGGAATTGTTTCAAATTTCGTATTTAGAACTAGAGTCTGTGACAGAAAATTGTCTATGCAGGTCCAGGTCTTCGTATAGGCCCCATACATCAGTACCTCCCTATATTCGGTATTTTGACGAGTTTAGGTACAATACCCACCGAAATTGTTTGAGATATTGTATTTGACGTTCTTAATGGATGCTATAGCCTGTGACAGAAAATTGTCTATGTCTTCGCACGGCTCCGATATAACGGTACCTCCCTATATACGATATTTTCATGATTTAGCTACATTATTTTGATGATTTTAGCTACATTATTTCAAGTTTCGAATTTGAATATGGTAATGGCTAATGGCAAACAATGCCTATATAGGTCCACGTCGTATAGACCCCAATATAACGGCTATAATTGGTATTTTTAAAATTTTAACAGAATTTTTTAAAGATTTTATTTTTTGAAAATTTCAAAATTCAAAGTCCGCCCCGGCCGAACTTACTGCTTTTTAACTAAATTCACTAAATTTTTAAAAATTATGGCATTTGACTTTGTTGCAGTTTTTTTATCTCACCCTGTATATTAGTTACCTCTGAAACCAAATTATAACTGCTCCAAAGGCAAATGTTGATAGGTGGTATGATCTACTTCAAAAAAATGTTTTTGTTACGAGAGCTCTACTAAATAGGCATAGTGTCGTAAGGTATAATATTGTCAGCCCCGCCTGTCTTTTGTCTTTTCCTTACTGGTTTTATAATGTCACTGTCCAATAGCTAATTTGGATTGTTGAGAATTTTAAGTGGAAAAACCCCCATAAGAGTTTCGGGTTCCCAGTTCAAAGGGATTCAAATATATTTTTAAACATACTTTGCAATATTTTATATAGGCTATTGTGAGGGCTATGAATTACTTCAAGAATCATTGGTTTACAAATGGAGTTATGCCAGCCCACTTTTTGCTATAGACCCTATAAAAGTGTTAACACCAATTTCAAGTTTTTTACTGTTCAGCCATTTCGGAATTATTAGTTCTTATTATGTGGCAATACTAATAACTACAAATTATCCATATAGGCCTGTGCTTTGGGACATCACTTATTAAAAGATTATCCCCTGATTTTGGTTTGGTGCCTTCTATTCACACCGTTAATAAACCACCTATGATTAACCACAAAACTGTATCACAATTGATTGTCACAATCTTCCATATTTTGGATTATTTTACATTTTCGTATTTATTTAACAATTTTTTTTGTTGCACAGTGTAATCAATCTTCTATCACTTGAAAAAAGTGTAATAACAATGACACTATATAATCGTAATTACTTATATTTTATTCTAGTACTGTTGTTTATGCAACAAAATAATTTTTCTATTTACGAGAAAAAGAAGAAGAAAAAAACAAAAACAATAAAAAAATTACAACAATTTGAACTATTGTTTACAACAAAACGCGCGCGGTCTCACACACACACACATACTTAGGCAACCACTTGCCTCATTCATTATTCGCCTTTGCTTCCTAATCACAAATTCTGACGCCGCAACTTTTCGGCTATGGCTGCCACGACAGCTGCCCCCTTACCACTGCCATCATCGGCCAGCATATATTTGGTGGTCTTATCTTTGGTCCAGAGGGCGGTGTAGTCAATTATCCATTGTCGCAGACGTGGATGGTGTTTATAAACCGAGCCATCGATGGCGATGGTAATGTCATCGCCCTCTTCGGGTGACATGCCATTCAATAGCACCGATGTGTTAAGGGCCACAAGCTGGGCCGCCCGTTTCGATATGAGGCCACAGACGTAGCGTATGATTTGCAAATCGTCTGCTTCAATCTGCAAGGCATTGAATTTCTTCCTCAAAATATTTTCCACATTTTCCCAGCCATTGCGTAGGGTGTCGTGTTCAATGATGGACACATTATCCGAACCAAATGTCCAGGGTTGGGGTAGGTCTTCAGCCGCCACCTGAGGCAGGAACAGTTTTTCGGTGTGCAATTTTGCTAAAATGCAACGACACAGTTCTCCCAGATATTTTCCAGAGATATATTTCTCAAAGGTAAACGAATTTTTGAGCAACGAACCCTCATCCACTTGGCGATCGTAATCGGTTTTAATGAAATCCAAGACACCATTGTCACCAAAGGCACCCCATTCCACATCGACAACAACATGACGTTCGCCATGACGTTCCTGTTCCCAATGCAATACCTTGGAGCTACGTTCCATGTAGCAGCCATTGGAACCGGTACCCAGCACAATGCCAATTCGGGTATTCTTATCCATAATGGCTCCATGCATGAGGGTACCGGTGGTGTCATTCAATATGGCCACTATTTCGATGTTATTTCTTTTGTACTTCTTGAGGAACTTTCGCAATATCAGCACGGCATCTTGACCCACCACTGAAGGGCAATTGAAGGACTTTGTCCATGTCACCAGCACACCCGAATCCAGGGCACTTTGTCGCATGGGAAATGAAAAGGTAAAGCCCATCGAATAGATACGATCCTCGTCAAGCTCTTGATTTCTTGCAAATTCATCCACACACTTGGCCAAATACTCAAACAAGGCATCGCCGTCTCCAATGCGTAGATGTTCCGGCAAGGGGTAATACTGTACAATTTCATCCAATATCTGACCCTGTTCCAAGGTCATGAGCAAAACACGCAAATTAGTGCCACCCAGGTCGATGGCCAAATAGGTGCCGCTCTCCGTTCCATCGGGCAACTCCGGTATGTAGGTGTTCTCCATTTGCAGCGAAGACGGTTTCATTTTCAGAGCCAAATCCATTTCCTCCCTGAACACCTGACCAATGCGCTCCAATGCATCGTCCGTCAGCTGGAGACCGTTCAGCAACGCCTCAACGCGTTGTTGTTTTTCCGGGTCGCATAACTGCAGTTGCTCTATTTGGTACATTTGAATACTTTGGCGCACTCGCTCTCAGTCGTGTGGTCAGCGAATCAACGAACGAACGAACGAAGGAACGACGAATGTTGTTTATTTTGTTTTGGCTCGTTGGAGGGCCAATGAATGACTGACTAACTAACGGCCGGCTGTCTCAAAGATCAACCAGGGAACGATCTTAGACTGGCTGTTGAGTTATGACGACGTCAACAAAAACCAAAAACAAAGCTGAGATGGAAAACAACAACAGCTAGCTTCGCTATGTGCTCTGTTCGTCGTCAGTCACTTAAGAATTTCGTTGCGACAAGTTTCAAGATTAAAACGCGACTACTGCGCCGACATGGAATTATGATTCGAATATTGTCACACCATTAACGCCAATGTATTCGTTGTCGGTAGACGTTGACGTCGTGGCTGTTTCGTGGCGGCGCAAACAGCAACGTCGTTGTTCTCCATAATGCGGATGTTATTTACAAATGGGGTTGTGTTTGTTTTCAGTTTCTGAATTTTTGGTTTTATTTCAATTCTTCGTTGTTATTGTTTTGGTTTCTGCTTTTGCTTTCAGAGGCTCGCTCTTGGGTGTGAGCTAGTTTATGTATCTGGTGTTGGGGGAAGTGGTTGTAGAGCTACCCAAAGAATTTGGGTAATAGTTGGTGGGTAATGGTGTTTGCCACTAAAGAAGGGGCGGGTTTGATATAGAAATTCAGCCGGTTTTACTATGGACAACCTTTTGAAAAGGTTGTAAGAAGTGGTTCTAGAGCAAAGACGATGTACTTATTGAATTAGAATTTTGATATTTCGCACTAAAAGGTACTATATATTGTACCTGAAATTTGTTTTGCAGCTTTTTCTGTCATGCCCTTTGGATATGACGAAAGTTCCTAACAATAATAAATACGAAGGAGTAAAACTGGAATTCCAGAATTGATCATGAAGACTGGTGGTGAAAGTTAAATGTATCTATGAATATTAAAAATAAGTTGCATTGTGTTAGTCATTGATGTTCACTGGAATGCGTGAACTGACTCTGTATCTGCTAACTCTATATGAAAGGTGACGTCAATTCCAAGGTTTATTTCTATAAATAGTGTGTTAATTTATTTGTTAAAGCCAAGAAAATTTATTTCGAAATATGTATTTTGAAAATATTTAGTGAGTTACTGAAACACTAATTCAAACCGCTAAGGCTGGAGTCTTGAAATCTTTCATATTGGTGTGTAGGGGTGACATATGGCTGGGTTTTTGGATATTTTAACTACAAGTGCAGTGAAAGTACTAAAAGGTACTAAAAATTTAGTAAATTGAGCTAAAATTGTTAAATTGGAAATGATGGTAGCTAATGGGATATATAACAGATGTACCAAAGGTATTTTTCCCAAACTCAAGCTATGTGTGTACTAAAAGTACAAAAAACTAAATTTGGTACCATTTAGCATAAGAAGTATGTTTGAGAAGTAGGGTTGATATAATGGTGTGGTTTATGGAATGTGTACTCCATGTAAATACTATACTAAATATTACTTAATTAAAAAAATTGGTTTTGGTTGAACAGATGGAGCTGGAAATTTGATTTGTTGGTGGGTAGGGCCACTGCTAGTGGGTAGGATTGAAATAAAAAGGTGTTCTACAAGTATACGTAAAGTAGTAAATGGTACTAAATTTGGCATTGGGTGAACGGATAGTGTTTGAAATCTGAAATTTTGCATTAGGGTTACCATTAGTATGTAGGCTTGAGTTTTGGAGGTGTATTTGGAAATATGTACTAAAAGAGTACGAAAAGTAGTAAATTTACTTTACAGCTGCACCAGCACTTTATTTGTGTTAAAATTTCCAGTTATCGAAAAGTATAATCGAATGATTTGCACAACAACGTCTTCAAAATATTTCGCTTCTCTTCTATCGAAGAGCATATTAGTTAAACCCGTGCATTATAGTTCCACATCCAATTTTTCTGGCCAAAACTATTTCAATGTCGTTTCATAATAAAAATTGGTCACCACCATATTTGCTTCCTAGAAACCAACCACCTAATTTTCTCAACTACTAAAACCAACAGTGACATCCATATAAAATTTAAGGATTTCAGTTCTATCCCTTCACTCAATACCAAATTTAGTACCACTTTGTAATTATCGAATAAGTATGGTACATATTTTAAAATCATCTCCATAGCTTAACCATATACACCTACAGTGACATCTATATTAAATTTTAGGATTTCAGCTCTATTCCGTCACCCAGCACCAAATTTAGTATAAACTTAGTACTATTCGAACTACTATAGTACACATTTCCAAAACACATCCATATCTCAATTCCAGATACCAACGAAGACCTTAATATAAAATTTGAAGATTACCTTCTTCCAATATCATATTTAGTACAATTAAGTACTATTCGTACAAATATAGGACGAATTTCCAAATGTAATATAAAAATTACATTTCAGAATTTTATTTCTATCTCTTCACCCAAAACTGAATTTAGTACTATTCAGTATTTTTCGTTCAATAAACATGAGCAACTCTATCTGCTATCTACCACTATCAAACGCTACCTTTTCACCCAATAACAAATTGTAACAAATGTAGTACTATGTAGTACTTTTCATGCACTTGTAGTACACATATCCAAAGCCATATCTTTATCACAAACCTACCATCAACAGGGACCCCAATACAAAATTTCAAAATTCCATATTCATCCGTTCACTCTAAATCAAAATGTTCCAAATTTAGTACTATTCAGCAAAGTTCGCATATTTAGTACACACTTCCAAAACCACCTTCATTTATCAAAACTTTCGTTCCAACATTGATTCTCACATCCGATTTGGTCCAAACTTGATAAACATCATAAAAGTATTATCAAATTTAGATCGAGTTCGGAGATGAGCAATATCGGTTCACTCCTTTTGGTACCTCCCCCCCAAAAGATGGAAATTTTCAAAAACAAAAAAACGCATATTTTTTAGAGCCACCCTTGCTTTCCAAAATATTCCAGACACAATAGTCCAACGGATTGGTATCTGGGGATTTTTGTGGCCATTGTGCGCTGGAAATGAAGCGAGGAACCTCATTTTGTAACCATTCTTGGGTGGCGCGTGCTGAGTGCGATTGTGCTGAGTCCTGTTGGAATGCCCAAGGCTTTAATACTCCATCATCGGAGAAAACCAAATTCAGCAGTTCAGCACTTTCGGTCAAGCGAAGCAATTCTTTAGCTCTTTTGAGTCAATTTTGTTTCTGTTGCGGTGTAAGTTCTTACACTTTTTGGAATTTAAATGGCTTTACCCTGAGCTCATTTTTCAATATTTGCCGATTTAAATATTGCGATATATTCAGCTTCCGAGCCATTTTTCGGCCACTGCGACGCGGGTTTCGATCAAGTCGCTTCTTTAAATTTCGAACCATTTCTGCTGATGTTGCTGTTTTCTTCCGTCCACCTCCTTGACGTCGGGCTACGCTACTAGTATCACGGTAACGAGCGATGCTACTAGACACAAAAGATTTATTCACATTTAAATGCTGGAGTGCTCTAACGATAGCCACATGAGGTTTTCCAGCCAACATAAAGAAATCACACTATTACGCTTGAATTCCATCACGTACAACTTTTTTTCTGGAAAAGTCTCACCAAAATGCTTTATACGCTTGTAAACAATATAATGGGCTGTCACTGGAATAATTTTAACAGCTGTCGGACGAGTGATTTAGAAATGACAGCAGTCTGAAGTTGGTTGCAGTTTTTTCATCTCATCCTGTATTCCACAATTTGATGCTATTTCCGACACTTTTTGCTTTCATTCAATAAAATTAAAAAAAAAAGTAAAAAAGCTGTAATTTCGGCAGGGCCGACTTCTAGACTGAATTCGGTCGATGTGCTAAAATTCAGGTTATTTGGACTGATATTGGCCATTTGGTGCACAATTAGCCCGAAATCAGTTAAAGATATATATGGGAGCTTTATCTAAATTTGAACCGATTCTCACCAATTTAAGTAGGGTTCGCCCTTGGGTCAAATGAATAGTATTTGTATAATTTCATCTCATTCGAATAATAAATTCAAAAAATACATGGACAGATGGACACAATATGTCAAATAAACCTTATACGTACATTTAAGTACTAAGATTTATACAAAGGTAGTTCCTCTTAACTTTTTGATTAAAATGCAATGTAGAAGAAGTCGCAGCCATTTGATAGCAGATTATAAATGTCGACCATGCCATAGGGTTTCCAAAGGCCCGTACATCGAAAATATCAATTCTATTTATTTTCTCTTTTATTCTCCCTATCAGCTGAGGAATCTCATCAAAAGGGAATGGTTTGGTTGTTCGATAAGCGGAACCCTTATCAATGCCTCGAACATATGTAAAGGCAATGTCAATAAATAGGTCAACAACATTTGAGTTATTGGTTAACAATAAAAGTTCAATGTTGGACAGAAAACAGTTTAATGGAAATTAATACAATTAACAAAATGTAGTTTGGATAAATGTTGTGTGCCCTACAGTCGGTGTAAAAAACACACAGTAACAAAGATCTAAAGAGTTATAAAGAGACTCCTTTCAGGACACACAGTATAAAAATAAGTTTCCATAACTCTACTCTGTAATGTTAATTACGAACCTTATCAATCATTCCCTTTTAGCGTACATTCCAAGTCGCTTTCAATTATCTTTGCTTACTTAGACCATAAAAATAAATAGCTTGGGAATTTAGCTTAAGCTCTCTTGGAAATTTGAATACAATAAACAATAGAAAACGCTCTTTAATTTGCCAAAAAAAAGTTTAAAAAAGAAACAAAAAAAAAAAACAACTACACAATCACCGGTTTGTTATTACACGTGATAAGCTATTCTCCCATAAATAGCTAAATTTTTGCTAATCGCCATACGACGATTTCTTTTGCTATTTTTTTTTGTTTTTTTTTTTCTTCAATAAATTCAAGTGTCTGGTGTCTGGTTCTTTTTTTGTTTTGTTTGCCAGACGACGTTGTCTTTAATCTTGAAATAACCGCCTGCTAATGTTTCTTGGCATTCAATTGACAAAGTCGAAATGTAGTACGTGAATGGCGGCATTTGCAAGCAAAGAAATTTTGCAGCAGAGAATGAATCAAAAAAAGTGGAAAAATAGTGTTGAAATAAATTGTTTTTATTGTTTTGAGTGGCTTTCTCAGCATGTGGTCAATTAATGCTAAATTATTGATTACCGAATTGTATGCGACGGCAGAGATTAGATATTGCTGGCGTTTAGAAACCAGATTCTTTTGTTGATAACTTTATGTGTTCATTGCTCGCCATAAAGCTGCAAAGTTGCTTTTAGTTGGCAA